CCGCTCCAGCATCGAGGCTTCCAAAAGTTGAGGTAATAATTCTGCATAAGTAGTAGGGATTCTATCGATCACCCTTTCCTTCCTCGGTTTGGCCTGTGGAATAGCTTGCTTTTTGGGATGGCTAGTCGCGATAGTGACGGTGTTGACCCCTTCTTCTTTCTTTTTTCCACAAAATTTCTTGGAATCGTTGCTCGTCGGGGGCTTTGCTATCCTCCCGCTCTTTAGTCCTTGCTCGACCCTCTCTCCTATTGTGACTATGTCGAAGGTGTTGACCCCTTCTTCTTTCTTTTTTCCACAAAATTTCTTGGAATCGTTGCTCGTCGGGGGCTTTGCTATCCTCCCGCTCTTTAGTCCTTGCTCGACCCTCTCTCCTATTGTGACTATGTCGAAAAAAAGGGTCGAAGTGTTCCCTATCATCTTGTCATAATAGGGTCTACTTAAGAAGTTGATGAACATTGTATCCATCTCCATATCAGACAAGGAAGGCTCTACTTGCGTAACCAACTCTCTCCACCTCTATGCATAGGCTTTGAAGGACTTGTCCCCTTTCTTGCTTAGGCTTTGTAAATCAAACCTATCAGGAATTAGGTCGATGTTGTATTTGTATCGACAGAGAAAAGCGTCGGCAAGTTGCTTGCATGTATAGACCTCTCCTCCATCCAATTGCATGTACCAACTAAGAGTGGCATCAAAAAGACTCTCCTAAAAATAGTGTATCAGGATCTTCTCATTGCCTATGTGGGCTGCCATCTTCCTGCAGTACATTGTCAGATGTCCTTTTGGACAGCTAGCTCCAGCATACTTTTGGAAGTCGGGGATTTTAAACTTGGCGGGGAATTGGATGTCCTGCATCAAGCACATATCCAAAGCCCTCAATCATTCACAGCCCTCAATCTTTCTTCCAAGGCGTTCAGATGATCCTTAGAAGTGTCCCCGACGTTACTGCCGCTATTGTCTTCATGTTGCAGCTTGTTCATGGTCTCGCAGATTCGAGCCATCTGTTCTTTAAGCTACTATAGCTCTTCATTCAGAGTGCGATTTCTCTTTTCTAGCGATTCCATAACTTTTATCCTTTGGGCCCTTGTGAGTATGGAGTGTTGAAAAACCACTTTTGAGGACAACGATAGATTTCCATTAGGTTTATTGGGTATATATTTGAGAGGAATTTCTAACAAAAATAACGACTTGCCTTTGTCAAGGTGAGTCATCGGTGTTCCTTTTTAGAATATTTTCTGATGTGACAAAGGTCACCCTGATTTTTACTCTTGTTAGAAATTTCTTTCTAACCCTATGTATGATGTACGTTTTTGCATATTTGTCATTTTTTTTATTTTAGGGGAATTATAAAAACAAACAAGTAATTCAAATAACAATAGTACAACAACTATTCACTCAAACTATATGCACCCTCAAGCGGTGATCCTAGTCCATGGGTTGGGGTTCTTGTCAAACAAAGTGCTTTGTTTAGGAAGGTTCTAATTTTCCTCACTAGTCTTTAAAGGCTCCCAAGGTGCCCCTATTATAGGGATCTAGTACCTTTGTCACCCTCACCTGACAGACTCTAAGGTTTATCGCAGTATTTTGGGTTAGAGTAACCAGTTGTCACCTTGAGTGTGATTTCCAACAAGGCTTGCAGGCTCTAAGGCCGTTCTTGGGTCGGTCGTACGTTAACCACTCCTTAATTTTACGCTCTCATGCCCTCGGGTATAGAGGGGACTATTGTGTGCTATGGTTTGTGTATAGTTATTATTCCAAACAGATGTAGAATTTAAACAGACAAACTGATATAAAATCCAAACAAGTAAAATGAACAAAGTAAAGGGGAACATATATTTAAGCTATTAATTGTTATTTTATTAACTTCATCATTTATTTGGGCCTGACCCTCTTTAAACTTCCCTAGTGGAGTCACCATTTGTCGTAACCCAAAAAATTATGATCTTACGACCAATGGTTTAGACTACCCTTATGAAAAATCTCATTAATTAGGGAATGCCTGGAAACCAGACTGATCCTTAATTAATGGTTTTGAAAAATGGTTCATGGAATCGTCACCAATGTTTTACTCAAAACATTGGAAAAAGAAAAGATTTTTAAAAGTCCAATAATAGCCTTAAAATCCAAAATTACGTTTAGGGGTCGGTTATGTGTAGGTAAGGTATTAAGCACTTCTACAAGGCCCTAAATCGGTACCCTATGATGAAGTTAACATGATAAGAATTAAAGGATTAAATATTAGATCTTTTTTTTTATTAATAGTTATTTACATGCTTGAAATTAAAATTACACGGTTTATCCTAAGACATTTACATGATGATTATTTATTTAGAGTAGTATTATTAAAGTAAAGGAGGTAAGGGAGAGAGAAGAATATTAGCTGAAATACCTCTTAATCGAGCTCTATTAGATCTTCAAATTTGGGGATCTCTAGGCACTTTTTGACTGCCTTTCAAGCTACAGTATGCCTCACAAAATCTCAAGAAATATAAGAGGGAAGAGAGAAAGAAATTTTGAATTATATGAGACTTTTTAGATGAATTCTTTCAGCCCGGGAGCAGTGCTCAAGTCTACTATTTATAGACGTCAAAACTGACCAGAATGACCCATTTCAGATCAGTTTTTTTTACTTAAATTTGAATTTGAAACGACCCATTGTGGTGTTAGAACAACCTATTCCAGATTTGAACTTGACTCATATAACAACCTATGTTGGAATGACCCGTTCTGGCCTGTTCTCAGCTAGGGTTTTCAAGTCTTTCAGTAGTTTGGAACGGCCCGTTCCGGGCTACTAAATCAAACCTGTTGGGCTTTAGGCCTTCTGATGTCATATCATGTTGTTTCAATGCTTCACGAGCTCCTTTCTTTCATAATAGAAGTCTATTTCTTTGTTTACTGCTAGTTCGGACGAAATTAGGTGTCTACACTCCCGATCAACATCCTTTTTCTTGGAAAGGAATTTGATCAAGATATCACCTTCTTTAGGATAAATTGGTTCTTCCTCCTTAGCGAAATCATCTAGGAGCTCCTCCAATTTCTCATCTGAAATAGTTTCAACATTCTCATCTTCATCGACATTGACATCCACCATGTTGATCCCTATTGAGACAGGTTCCACGTGCCCAGTATGTGCAGCAAATGGATCAGTGTCTACCTTCATATCTTTCTCTTCGAAGGCGATCGAGATGACCCTCAACAATTGCTTTCTCGATCATATGTCCCTAAAATGCATACAATTATTAGTCCAATGACCATACATGTTATGGTATTTGCAAAACTTTTTCCCTTTTCTTTGTTCGAGAAGAGGAATTTTGGGGTTTTTTGGGAGTGTAATCTGTTTATCTTTTAACAAAATATCAAAAATCTTATCATCTTTGGTTATGTCGAAACTGTATCTCCTATTCGTACCACCCTCTACATTATCCCCTAGTTTTATCATCTGACACTGATATGTGGGGCTAGGTTGAAACTCCGCTATATTAACCTCTAAGTTATTCATTCACAAGTTTTTTCCGAATAAAAAAATCTAAGCCTGTAGCAGCTATTTTAACCAATTAATGTTCAGGTATGTTTATATAACATCAAAATTTTAATTGTCTAAACCTATTCAAATAATCATCTAGTGACTCACTATGTTGTCTTTTTATATTCATTAAATCGATTATACTTACTTTAATTTCCTCTCGAAAGAAATACTCATGGAAAACTTTTTTCTAATTGTGCCCAAGTAATAATTGAATTAGCACCGGTACAAAAATTAGTTTCAAGATCGGGGTTTTAAGATCAGTTATTAGAGAACCGATCTTAAAAGTAACGCGATGACATTTTTGTAAATAAAGTTATAACTTTTAAGATCAGTCACATTTTAACCGATCTTAAAAGTGACGCGATGATATTTTTATAAATAACATTACAATTTTTAAGATCGGTCACATTTTATCCGATTTTAAAAGTACTTTTAAGATTGACTAAAATGCAACTAATCTTAAAATTTGTAACCTTTTTTACAAAAATGCCACTATATCACTTTTAAGATCAGATCTTTAATGACCGATCTTAAAAGTTTATTCTAATTTTGAAGGAAAACTCGTAATAAAAGAAATATTTGATAGCACTTCTAAAAAAACTAAGTCCAAATATAATAAATGTGTATTAAACATTTCTCATTGAAGCGTTATTACAAGTTTAATATTTAACAACATTCTTTTAGTATTATAGCTTTAATATTAAACATCACTTCTTTAAATAAAAATTATCAATGTTGTTGATATGATATTAAAATTAAAAAAAATAAATAAAAAAGTGAATGACACAAAATGATAGTAAGGAATCAACTATTGAGAGGGATAGGTAGAATCCAGTTGGGAAAAATTCTTTCATATTCACTTCTTAAGAATCCCTCCCCTGCACTCCACATTAGATGAACAAACCCTTCGCGTCGTACACTCCACTATTCGTAGTTTAACACAACCATAATCACTTCCGCACACCACTTGTGTTCCCCGCTGCACAAGGTACTACTCTTCGCCTTTGTTGTAAACATGGTTTTAAATTGCGGACCGCAACACGTGTTGCGGTCGCAATATTTGCGGCCTTGTCCGCAACGGCATCGAACCGCAATTGCGATGATACTGGAAATCACACATTTTTTCGCAACATAACAGTGTTGCGTCCGCAACACATCTGCAATATACCGCAATACATCCGCAATACGATAAATTGATACTATAATTTTAAAATAAATTAAATTATTCATTAAAATAATAGATATTTTAAAAAAAAGGAATTAAAATGTATAAATCCTTAAAAATAAAATATATATTGATAATTATAAATTTTTTATATTTAGTGAAAATAATTAATAATCTCACACCGCAACAGCCGCAATCCATATCGCAATACCCGCAATACCCACAACCGTAGTAACTGCAACCGCGACCGCAACCGCAATTTAAAACCATGGTTGTAAATTCCCCGTTGTATTTTGATTTGGATTCGTTGACGGTGAGGTACTTGTAGAGAGCGGGTGTGGGGAGGGTGGAATCCGGTGAGGCTTCCATAGTTGAGTTAGCACATTCGAGAGATCTCGTAGCTTGACGCAAGAAGCGGAATGCTCGAGAATCTTCTAATGGACAAAGGCGGCCCTCTAGCCCATTCCCGGTGACAAAGGCCCACTGTAGGCCAGCTCCCTCTGCTGTCCGAATCCGTCCCTGAGATCGCAACTCGAAACACGTCCCTCGGCGATGCCATCACCACCCCTTCTGGTTAAATCCACCTTTCGGTTCTTCTTCTTCTGTTTCACTTCCCCCTTCTTGCACTTCTTCTCTAATCTCTTCATATATTTATAAAAAAAAAAAAAAAAAAAAACTTAACCTCGTACCGCTTGCATTAGGATCTCCTGTTCTCTAAGGACAAGGGTTTTATTTATATATTGTTATTATTATTATGGATACTTATTTTGATGTTGTATATGGTGTTGAAAGAGAGGGTGGCTTAAGGAGGCATGGTATGCATGATTGGTTTCCCCTGGAATGGTTTATTCCAAGTCTTGTTGGATCATTCCTGCACCGAAAATGTGAAAGGAGATGTGCGAATTTTCAACTTAACTAGCTATTTTAGGCTCTTTAGATTTGAGTGTATAGTTTTTTAATATATTCACAATGCTAATTTGTGTGTTGATGTACCATTTTATTACAGGTTTCAGTTATTGACTTAGAGAGTGCATCTTTGTTATATTGAAAACAAATTGCAAGTGAAATTGCCAGCGGTATTATCTCTCTACAGTTCAAAACCTGCAGTTTGCATGGTTTTGAGAAAAATATTTTAGCAGTTGGAACAAAGGACGCATCTATTTTAGCAATAAATGGTGAAACTGGAAACGCATTGAGCATTGGAACTATTCATCCAAAGAAGCCCTCTAAAGCAATATTTATGCAGGTGTTGGTTTAAGTTATCAATTATCTAAATGCTTGCTATGTTCAAATACTATTTTTTATAGCAATGAAGAATTTGATGGAAAAGAGTAAGACCTTCTATCATGTTATAACAGAAAAACAATGTTACATTTTTCCAGCAAAGCAATTTTACATTTTGCCATGTTCTGAGAAGGCTTTCTATGTTTATTCTTTTGTGCATGCCTTATAGGTATTGTACGTGTTCTTAAATCTTTACTTTTGTCCTTACTCATGAGTGAAGACTAGAATATTAGCCGATGCTTGCAGTTACTCATTCTCGTATGTTTCAGGGAGTAAAAAAGGTGCTTTACAAATTGTGGCTACATGTACCAAAAATAATGTGACTAGTGTAGTTTAACTCATTTTTTTGCCTAGGGGAAAGAAAACCTCATTTATGAGAGTATTCTCCATGTTAGTTTCGTTTGTTTTAGATTATAGGTGTGCTATCCTTGGCAACATATGTAACTAACAGTGAAGACTTTGGTATAATAGAATTTATTGGCATTGCTGAATTTTCAACAAATTCAGCCAGATTTGGCTTGATTCCCTGACTGGACCACTGCCACAAAATCCCAATAATATTGAGAAACCAATTTTTGTCTCATCACTTGTCTATTTTCCTTCCGTTATTTTTATGAGAAGTTTTTAGTGATATTAATGAGAAATTGGTATACTTTTTAGTGTAATAAAATGTTTAATATTTTACACCATATTTAATAATAGTTTATGATGGTTATTTAGTATCATTAATTATATCAATAATATTATGTGATATCTGTTGCTATGTGACAATATACATATTTAATTGATTGTTAGTTTTTTATTTTATTACAATGACAGTATTATAACACCAAATTATAGTATTTATATCAAGCTCTCAATTTTTAACTATTTTATAGTTAGGTTAACCCAAGAAAAATAAATAAATAAATAAATAACTTTTTTACATTTTGAGTATAGAAATCATTTAATTGTTAACGAATTAAAAATCATAGATAAATATGACCTTTTAAGTAACTATTATTACAAAAGTCAAATCCCTTACTTTACATAACAAATTGTGATTGGATAATAATTTTAAAATTCTTTAAAATTGACGTTGTGACATGATCTAAAACTAAGTTTTCTTTTAACTTACTTTACATAGCAAATTGTGATTGGATAATAATTTTAAAATTCTTTAAAATTGATGTTGTGACATGATCTAAAACTATTTTTTCTTAAAGAGGTGATATGAGGAAACCACATATATCATAGACTTTATTAAACACTTATACATTTTTAAATCTCATATTTATGATTCTTTGTCTTTTCTATATATAATTTTCTTTCTAACCAGTGCTAAATAGGATGGATTAAGGGTCGATCCAACCATTAGTGAAACCTAAAACATATTTTAAGAATTTTTTATATATATAAAAGCTATATGTTGCATTTTACGTTTTTTTTAAATAAAATCAAATTGTTCCGGTATGACTAAAAAGTCTCACATCGTTTAAGAGTCGAGGTTAAAGGTAGTTTATAAACACCCTTCCTCCTTAACTCACCAAGGCGTCTTTTAAAGGACAAAACCACGAAGGCCCAACGAGCCAAAACGAACAATAGCTCGGATGCGGTGACCCTAACAATGACCGTGGACTTACGGTAGGAACATTGGCGCTAGAAGGAGGGCCCAGACCACTCTTGTCCTTTAGCATCGACTGGGGGGCTTGTTCCGGTATGCCTAAAAGTCAGTTCCGCATCTGAGGTATTGTCCGCTTTGGCTTGTTGGGCTGTCACGATTTTGTCCTTTAAAAGGCGCCTCGTTGGGTTAAGGAGGAAGGGTGTTTATAAGCTACCCTTAGCCTCGAATATTAAGAAATGTGGGACTTTTAGGCATACCGGAACAAGCCCCCCAGTCGATGTTAAGGGGCAAGAGTGGTCTGGGCCCTCTTTCTAGTGCCAATGTTCCTACCGTAAGTCTGCTATCATCGTTAGGGTCACCGCATCCGAGGTATTGTCCGCTTTGGCTCATTGGGCCGTCACGATTTTGTCCTCTAAAAGGAGCCTCAGCGTAGGTTAAGGAGAAAGGGTGTTTATAAGCTACCCTTAGCCTCGAATCTTAAGCGATGTGGGACTTTTAGGCGTACCGAAACACAAACTATTGTGACTAATTGTGGAGCATTGCTTTGTGCCAAAAGTACTTAAAAAATTTCTATTCTCCATGCCCTTAGTCCTATCTATTAAAACTTAATTATCTTGTTGATTGGGTTATTAAAAACTCGCAAGCTTCCAAGTCCTTCGCATAGTGACATTTTATGGTACGCAGCTTCCTGGTCCAAGCTACCATTGTCGGAAGGTATACTTATTTGAGAATTTAGAGTGTGCTTGTTAAATAAACTTTGTCTCTTGTAGTTTTTCTTTTTCCTTTTTGTGAGTGGAAATATTTTTATTTATTTATTTTATACTTAATGTATTATGCAGGGATCAAAACTTGCTAGACTGCCTTGTCCAGATAATGTCCTTGAAGTCCTCTTAATTAATTGTTAGTATACTATTACCATTGTACTGTAGTAATGATATTTTTCTAAGGTATTTTGTTTTGAATTACCATTATTATTGAAATTAATTATTATATTCTTTTTGCAGTCTCATAAACAAATAACAAATTATGAGTGCGGATACTATGTAATGAAGGCAATGCATACTATTGTTAATTCACAAATAGTATTTGGATGGACTGAAGTATGTTTTACAATTTTGAAAGTTTTTATTTTAAATTTTCATTTTGTCATGTTTTATGAATACTTCTAATTGTTCTAAATTTTTCTTAACAGATATTTATAGATCGATCACCATTGTCACTAGAAGACAAAAACATCATTAGGGAGCAATGAGCTACATTTTTCATCGATCACCATGGACTTGTAATTTATAAAATACTTATTATGTACTTATTGTGTATACATTTATGTATTGGATATGTTTCAAAAAAGTTCTCTTGTATTTTGTATGTATTGCGAATCATTAAAAATATATTAATTGCTTGGTATTAATTTGTAGGTTTTGTTCAGGAACCTTCTCAAAACAAGCTAATCATTTTAAAAAAAATTCACAACTTTTAAGATCGGTCATGGTAATAGCCAATCTTAAAAGTCTAATTTTTAAGATTGCTATTAGCATGACCAATCTTAAAAGTCAAACTTTTAAGATTGGTTATTAGTAAGACCGATCTTAAAAGTCTGGCTTTTAAGATCAGCTACTGACGTGACCGATCTTAAAAGTTTAGCTTTTAAGATCGACTTCTGACGTGATCAATCTTAAAAGTCCAGCTTTTAAGATTGGCTATTAGCGTGACCGATCTTAAATGTCCAACTTTTAAGATCGACTGACGACCAATCTTAAAAAGTTCAACTTTTAAGATCAGTTCTGTTCCGGCCAAAGGGTGGACTAGGGTTTCTTCCTAGGACAAGCCTTAAAGCCAGAGCAATCAAAAGTGTAATCTGCTTGCCTAGCCTTAGGGTTTTAGGTTTTATACTTTTCTTATTCATGGGCCTCATGGGCACCGTGAACGCGGGGATTTCCTTAACCGTTTTTATTTGGAAGATACTTGGTGAACGTGGGGGGGTTAGATCGGGCCCTAACTGACCGAATCCATACCGAGGAAATCCAATCAGATATTGGCTGAGTGGGCTCCTGTAGGCTGGAGGGATCAGAATAAGACCGATCTAGCTTACGCAGAAATGCCGACTCGGACATAGACCGAGTGACCCTTAGAGAGGGGGTCGGTCGAGGTTGTAGCCGGCCTATCGCAGGTAGAGAGGCCAGGTCAGAGTTCGACCGAGACGGTACACTTGCCTTCCAGCCCTGAGCCTATAAGGCGAGAGGGCTTAAGGCCTAGCTCTCATGGTTCGTATTGGAAATGAATCGAGATGTCTGACATGGTTCACTTCCACGGCAAGAGGTGAGTCCCACTCAGGTCCTAGCCGAGATCAACCAGGCCAAGCTCAACTACGTGATCAGAGCGCGTGTTCGTGAGTACAGGTCAGATTCTGACCTGGACGGTCCATTTTCCTTCCAGCCTTGAGCCTATAAGGTGAGAGGGCTTAAGGCCTAACTCTGATGGTTCAAATCATGGGTACAAGTCGGACTTCGACCGAGACAGTCCTAATATCAGGCAAACCATCACTCCGAACTCAATTCGGGATATTCCCGAGATGTTGTTCAAGCTTGGGCGCTGACTTAGTGCCTCCCGCTTTCGATGGTGGGACGTATTGTCGTACACTCTTCCAAGCCGCGTCTTTTCGTGTGATGCCATGGAGTGATGTGCATTAATCTTGGGTGGAAGGGCTTTAAGGAATTATTCCCCGGGATCATATCAGAATTATATCGAGATGGTACACTTGCCTGCTCGGCCTAAGCCTTATAGGCGAAAGGGCTTGGCTAGCCAGGGAGCTGGAACAATTCCATCTTAAGGAATTCGGTCGGAATCCGATTCGGACGACGCTTGATGTGTTGAATGTGCAACGTCTCCCAAGGCTTGTCTCTTCACCTTACACTTGAAGAGACATGCATTTATTGTAGCATCGTTGCCGCAGGGGAGGCATTATTACAGTGCCACGTGTCGCTTGGTGCGTGTAACGTGAGCGTTGGGGGCCCCAAAGTTCAGAGGACGTGGCATTTCACGCGTGTCCCTTCCCATGCGCATCCCCTCAGTTCTATAAATACCCCTCTTCAACAAATCATTTTACCATTTTGTCTCTTCCTTCCCTTTCCTTGCTTCTTCTCCGGCGAGTGTTTTTCTTTTTCTCCGCTCCCTCACGGTGGTTTACGGCGGTCCTGAGGAATTTTATAGAGGAAAGGAGGTGTTTTTGAGATCTTGGTAGGTACGCCCAAATATTTATTGTGCTTAGTAGTTGTTCTTTGTCTATCGTTGTAGTTTGTTTGGCTATACGCTTTTAATTCATGGCGTCCGTAAATTATAGGGAGGTTTATGAATGGGTGAAAGATGATGTATTAAGGTGGGAGTCTTGTATAAATTCTTGGGCTATGATGGAAAGTTTTAACAGTGAACACGTGGTGAGTCGAGGTACCGGTAATATCCTAGTCTGTGAGCCTTGCGTGGATAAGGAGCCAGTGTGTATAAGTTCAGTCTCGGAACTTTTACA